TTTTGGCAACTGGGTCTTATTTTCTTCGAAACGGCTGAGGTTACTCCAGACTCTTCGATTGGTGACTCAGTACACTGGAGCGTCTGCTTAGTAGTTAAAGCTCTTATTCCAAATTTTATTTGTTTAATGATAACTGTCAAATAGCAGGCCTTTGATAGTTATCATTAGCTCTTGAGCTGACTTTGGGCTTCAAAGAGGGGAGAAACATCAACGCGAGAAAAGTCGTGAGGGTGGAACAGAAGAGTGATTCAAAGAGGTAAAAGAGATAGACAGACACAAAGGTAGAGAAAAAGGTAAGGTGAGTACTGTTGAAGCAGTAGGGTCATGGCAACTTGAAATCAGAAGTCAACTGCCGGTTTGTTGACTTTTTGATGAATGAGAAAACGTTATAATAATAAAGTGTGCTTGTTAATGAAACGGGTAATGAATTTACCTCTAATGCTGCAATTGATAACCTAAAAATCACCAAAAGTAAAGACCAACTGAATGAAGTCAAATTCATAGGTAAGTTATGGAACTTTTATTTTTCAAAAAGGAATATTTATTTTTTAACCACAATGATGTTGGTAAAGAGCATTCGAAACGACGCTGAACTGCGCCAACATACATGATCTGAAGCCTATTGTCTGATTGTGCAAAAGTTCTGTCTTACACCTATTTCTTTTGACAGGATGACAGTTGGTTTAATCATTAAAATTATTTAAAATAGACGCAATCTAGAATGCTCTACTTTTTACTAATTTAATACATATCTAAAGTTCCAGAAGTAATATATAAGATTTACACAGTGAGGGCCCTGATGAAACTGATGGGGAATTAGAGAAATCTTGTGAGCTGATTTTTTTAAATATAAACAATGAACGTGGTGTCACGGGATATGAGTAGGTGAGTGATAGTGACAGAAAATAGATTTGAGAAGAGGACAAAGAGAATTTCAATGTCGTGGAGACAGGTAAGCTAGCAGTTGCCTTGAAAACTCATTGGAATTTACTGTGAAGTTAGGAGGTTGAAGGAAATGATCCCTGAAACGATTATGTTCACGAAGAGAGTGAGAGAGTGGAATATTGCTGAAATGGATGCCCTTTCCTGTTATGCGTTACCAACGCTTTACCCGATTAGCAACTTGAAATAAATGCATGAAATTCAGGGAACACATATATCACACACACACACACTATGTTGATTTACTTTATAAAGTAATATTTTTTATGGAAAATATTCCTAAAAGTTAAATAATATATTTACAAACTGCATTGACTTTGAGAAACACCCATATCAGTATTGCGTAAATCGAGGTAAATCGCCTCAATATTTATCAAACTCTCTTCGCCTTAGTAGAAATTTAGGATACAAGTGACCAATGACATAACTTGAGCAAAATTTCCTCCATAATCTTTGCATAATGTGTTTCATTTTAAAACTGTAATCATATAACTAGGTAATAGTAGTTTAATTCGCCTATAAAGTGTCACTCCCCCTCAGGCTAACAAATCTAATCCTTCTTTTCGATGCTTGCTTACGCTCCAGTGATTTCTTCAACACAATAATCTCCTTGATCTAGCACGCGCTTAGACAATGAACAAATTGCCTTTCTTCACTAATTTTTAAGATCTAAATTACTTAATGTACCTATTACGGACCTCAACCGCCGTGTTTTCTTTCATGATAAAAAAGTTTCTTTTGCAATAAAAAATTTTAATTTTGTTATAAGCTTTAGTTACTTTTCATAAAACGTGAATATTTACGATGTCTTCTCATCAACTGCTTCCTGGTTCAGAAATTTAGATCCTGAATTGAGTAGCAGTTATGACCAGTAAATGAATGGGAAAGTTTGTTTAAATTTTGTGCCGTGCTCTGTATGTTCCTCACAAAGTGGGTAAAATGATTTTTTTAACATGATCTTATTAAACACGTATTCAAATAATCTATTTTCTTCTTCGTTATCCATCAATCATATTCAAACCTAACCAATCTCCCATTTCCGCAACCATTGAAAAATGCACTGTTAGGCTTCGCAAAATGCATATACAACTTATCCCATTATTTCTTTATTCTGAACAAAATTGAAATTGGCACCTATTTAACCGAATAGGTGACTGCAAGGCGTCAGGTTGTCAAATATGTAATTATCTGAATGGATGATTTGAATTTTAATTAGCATCTTATTCTCATTTACAGACATCTTTTGTTCATCCTGGTGTTATCAAATGTTCTGACATGAAGCGGATATCAGTAAATTGATATTTTATTCAACATTTGGTTGTCATAGTAACAAGTATGCTGCGTAACACGGATAATCAAGTGGTACTCCTTTGATGAACTTGGATCTCAGATCATACTGGTTATGCCATTTTTTATCCAATCGATGAAAGAGAGTTGACTGCCGAGGTGAGAATGTGCCGACTGCGCGCAGTCTCTGACGCTTCAAGTCTCTATCCAACGAGCCATTTCAAATAGATTTTAAATTAATGATCTCTGGTTGTCCACCAGTAATTCTGTAAATCTCCATTTCAGAAGTTGACTGAGCATGAGTTAATACACCTCTATTTGCATTTACAATTCAAAAATACGAGCTCGGTCGATTGCTCGCTACAAAGTATCAATTGGTAGCAGATTGTATCCGATGCAAACTAATATTTACTTAATAATTAATTTGACCATAAAAAGAGTATAAATTAGGCTTTCTCACATAGAATCCACGAGAATCTGGTGGCTGCGTACATGAGTTTACGAAAAGAATATTATTAAGTTTCAATGGGAAAATATTGCGCAAATGGAAGAAAGGGTTTTGGTTATCATTCATTATGGAAAATGAGACTTTGCAAAGCTCAGTCGGGAACAGGTAAAGTGGTTAACCGCGCCAATTAAATATGCCACTTGAGGACACTTAATGATTTTCTGAAATAAATTAGAGGTCGGTGTAGGAATAAACACTTCAAGTGCAATTGTGACCTCAGTAACAATCTTGAGGTCACAAGGAGTCGATCTCTTTGCTCTGCAATGTATGGGGGGATACTTGTGGATCAGACAGTAGTGAGGACCTAGAAAAGCCTTATTTGCCTGATAAATGTGCCAATATTTGACTGGTGTTATTTTGAGGTGATTCTCAATAACGCATCAAAAAGCTCAAGATGATGTCACGCTGCTGAGGGATTAGCAGACACCCTTGTGGGCTGTGCAGCATGGGTACAAGTTGGTTGAACAAGACGCTTGATTTAACGGCACTTGCCCTTCACAGTTTTTCCCACATTTTTGAACGTACACGTAATCTTAACTCGCGAAGATATTCTTGAACAAATTCCCTTTGCGTGTAAGAAGAAAAAGATTTGTGATCAATTTTAAAAAGTTAAAAAAAACCAAGGGGGTACAAGACGCTCAAATGTTTATAAAATAAAAGGTCTCAGATGTGATAGAACCGGCTCATTTGGGTCAAAACTGACTTTCTTTATTTACAGCGCAGTTTTACAGAAGTGTTTCGCGAAATGGCCCGTCTGGCGATAGGAAAGACCGGCGTTAGAATGGACATCCCATTGATGCTCTACCAATCCCCAGACAAGGAGAATGGACATCCTCAAGAGGATGAAGTTGACCAAGACAATAAACGTGAATCCGAAGGGAGGGAGATCGATAACCTCTGCGCTTCTTCATCTTCGCCAACGCCATCACCACCTCCACTTCCTCCGCCTTCTGCGGTACCCCATGTGTCTCAACGAAATCTTGTCGAGGCATACTACTCAAATACACCAAAGTGGAGGGCTCGGCGTGAAGAGACGCCTGAAAAAATTGACTACTATCTCTAGAAAATCGAGCTTTCTACTCTCTTAAAGCTTCAACTTTACCGTTGATGTCGTAAACAACACCCTACATGCTCTCTCTCTCTCTCTGAATTTCCTAACCTCCTGGCATCATTTATCCTGGTCTAAACGTTTTGCGAAAAAAATGGTTTTCATAATTCATTTACCTTATACGTCTTCTCTTCTCTGTTCAAACGCTCTTACTCATACACTTTAGAAGTGAATAAATTCGAATTTAAAAATTTACTGCTATTTAATAAGTACTTTTTTCATTAATTGCATTATATTTGGTGATATTGGCGGCGCTTGTGAAATCCCCAATGGCTTCAGCATGTTTTCCACTGAAAGAGTGGGTGTTTCTGTCGAGCACATTTTCGATTTGGACTCAAACAGCGCTCTGGATGCTAGATCATGCACTCAAAAAATTGGTTCATTTAATGATTTCCCAGCAAACGTATAGTAATAAAACTGGGATAATGAAGCTGTTTAAACAATCTTTCCTGATTCTTACACATCAGAGGCTATTTTGGATAATTAGATCAATAAAAATGTTACTCTGCACTACCCAGACTATCAAAATTGACTTGACGAAAATCTTGGGCAGACTTTGATGGACAGATTGAACTTGATATCGAAAATAGTGTTCCCCTGTTTAATTGCTGTGTTTAGAGTACTTGGGCATCGATGTCGCCAATTAAGGAACTATTGAAGCGACGCTATATCATGCGGGGTATGCCTAAATCTAGTAGATGGCCAACAATAAATTGGAGTTCCGAAACGTGGAATGCAGAGTTTCGTGGCGGGAAATGATGAGAATAGGAGATGGTGGGGCAGCATACGAGCAGATAACTGTCAAGCGTTGTCTGCCTGTTTGCTTTTGAAAGGAATTGCAAAGTCAGCATATTGAGGAAATTGGACAAAAACGCGCGTGAAGTATATGAGTAGAAGTACTTTTAAATTAAAAGGGACATTTCTAGGGAAAAGGAGAATCAATAACCCCAAGAAATGACAGGTGAGAGTTTGAGGCGTGAAAGTATATAGATGAGAGCTAAAATAATTAATTTGTTATCATTGGGAATATGAGTGAAGAGTAATTTAGGCAAATTCGTAGAGAGTTATTCTTGAAAATTAGTTAAGATTAAGTAACATCTAATTGGTGACAATACTTGCGCCAATTTAGGGTTTGGTTAAATTTTATAAAAAAGCACTTAAAGTTAACCACATGAATTCTTCCCCGCATTTCTCTAGAAAATGGTCTTTGAAATCGGAAAAATGTACTTTTAACATTTCCGAATATATTATATATTATATCAAAGTTAATTAATTTATTTAGTTATTTATATCAAATGGCAGGCGTCCTGATGGTTATCATTAGTCCTTCAGTTGACTTCAGGCTTCACAGAGGGGAAGAAACATCAAATTGAAAAAGTCGACAGGGGGGGGGGAACAGAAGAGTGTTTCAAAGATGTAAGAGACAAACACAAACGTAGAACAAAGGTGAGGTGAGTACTGTAAAAATATTCCAATATGGCATCGAGTGAGGTGATGGTAGTTTGAAGTGAGAAGTCAACTGCCAGTCAACAGACTTTTTTGCCGTATGAGTATACGTTGTCCAGGGAATACAACGTGGAGGTAAGTCTATCGCACACCCCTATATCAAAATTAATAAAAGCTGAAAATTTACTTCTTTGCACTGAAAGTATTGCTGCGCTTCTAACTTTGTGGCTCACTGGAATTCAGGCAATTGTTCAGGACTCGTCGGTATTTTCTGCCTTCCCCATCCCCCATCCGCCTTGTGACTGATATTTGTAACTCAAGTTTATATTTATTAGACAATACCACCAGACAGACAAAAAAACGTTATTTCATGAAGCTTTCAGTAAAATAAAAAAATTAATGTTTTTTGCCTTGCGGTTACATGTGATTTAGATAACATTTTATTATTATCTGATTATATTGTGACGGAGTCTATATATGAAGACCTCTCGACAAAAATGTGGTTGCCGCATACTAAATTATTCCCAGAAAATGTACCATAAATAATTTTTATTAGCAGAGTTGAAGTAACCACCTTTTCATCTGCCAATTCTGGCCTTTCAAATGTTGCGCTTAATCCCTGATGAACCTTCCGAATGGGAAAGATTTTAATAGAGTCACCCAATCACCGGGCAGAATTGATCTACTCCACAACGGACAGTTGACGATTTACCGATTTAAAGCTACTTATGAACCATAAAATAACTAAATCAACCTATCAGAACAGACTGAAAACAGACATATAAGCAAAGAATATATATATATATATATATAGTTATCTTTCGTGAATATATGTTTATATGGTAGAGGATAACGAAATGCCCAAGAACGATTTGGCGCCTACAAAAGACTCAATAAGTTTTCTTTGAGAGGTTTAAAAATATTGACTAAATCGTGGTATTCAATCCAATATATCAATAAAGCGCAATAGCACGAGAACTGGCAGTTTAGCATTCTGAGTCATATAGCAGAAATTTCATTCAAGTTTCTTGTCTCAACGCTTCAAATTTCATCAATCAAAGTTTCAAAATCCACATTCATCAAGCTGGACACTTGCCGATAGCACTCAGAGCATAGTGAGCTGTTGAATCATCTATTATGAGTAAAACTAAGTGAAGCTCGTTTGAGGTCATTTAATTCGGTTTTACTTATAATATTTTAATTTAATTAAATCTTGTTATTGTTTCGCTGCAACCAGGCTTCGTACCTGTTATAACAATTAATAGCAAAAAGAATATTTATAAAATGAAATTAAATTCCCTTACACGTCCAAAAATTAATACACTTTGAATAAAATTGATAGTGTTTGTTGAAAAATTTATTTCAAATATTTTTATCTTTATGACCGAAATGACCAACCAACAATCTTGCAAAAAAATACATTTAAGAGAAACGACTATTATTTTGCAAAATTTACTTTGAGAATTGACCAAAACCGACATATTTTTAACTAAGCAGTACCAAATTATGGGGCAATGAATTTTATTTTCTGACCTTGAATTCAAGTCTAATTAAGTGCCTATTAAAGGACTTTTAGGACTAATTGTTGCCATGTAAATAAAATTAACATGATTTGATATACTGATTCTTGGCAAAATGCCTGAGAAGTCTAATATAGTCTATAATATTTATTTATATCAAATGGCAGGCGTTTTGATGGTTATAATTAGCCCTTTAGTTGACTTCAGGCTTCACAGAGGGGAAGGAACATCAAAGTGAGAAAATTTTGAGAGGGGGAGCAGAAAAGAGATTGAAGATGTAAAAGAGGCAGACACAAAGGTAGAAAAAAGGTGAGGTGAGTACTGTAAAATTGGTCAAATATGACATGCAGTGGGGTGATGGTAGTATGAAGTGAGAAGTCAACTGCCGGTTTATAGACTTTTCTTGCCATATGAGTTTACATTGCCCAGAGTGCACTCCATGGAGGCAAGTCTATCGCGCACCCCTAATCTATAATATAAAAGGCTTTCAACAATTAACTAATAGTGTTTTTCAAAATATTAAATTGATCCCAGCAGCAAAACAACTTCCAATGTCGGATCTCAACGGATATCGAATCACAGAAGAGTTTTCAAATGCGCAGATAATGGAGAATGGAAAGCATGTGGAATGCAAAGCCACATTCCCTGACGCTTGTTCTTAAATTATTTAATTGATTCCAATCTCAAAGAATATGACGCATATTTGTCTTTAACTATTAACAGAATATTCAAGAAACCACCTGAATCATGGAAGAAAGTAAGTTGTGTGCAAGATGATTCTAATAGGCCATCAAATTAAGAAGATCCGAGGTCGATACCCAAATGCCCCCCTAAACATTTTGAAATAGCTAATAGAATGCGAAATAAGTAGAAAATTTCATATGATTCCTTGTGCACACCGGATTACTTCGAAAGTGAAGATCAATGACGTTCTCTGCCACCGGAATTCTAGTTGAATGTTGTAGTCTCTACAATGAAGACTGCACTCAATGCAAACCTTTTCACTATCACAACCTAATACAAGTGTCAAGGAGTTGGACTTTCCACAGAATAAGTCCCTAAAACAGCCAAACGAAGAAGAAAAAAGTTCTGTTCAACCTCAGGAAGGGAAAATAATATTATTCGCTGCCATCGCGAAAGACGTTCACATGATCGAAAGCACAAAACGCAGCAATACGCGAATCATTACGAGTAAATCTCGTCAAACTCTTGAAGTTTTTCGGTGCGTCCCCCCCCCCCCACTTTAATGTATTCTTTTTTACAAGAAGAGCATGGATTGGATTCAGGTGCCTACGGTGCAACCGCTGAACAATGCAGAAATTGAGCCCTGGATAACGAAAGTGGCTAACATTAGGCCATATTGATCACACAATAGAATTTGGCTCCCCGCCACAACTAGGGCAAAAGTCAGAACTATTATCCGCCAATTTTTATGACTACACTAGGAAAAGTGTGTGACCTTGGAACTTTCCCCTCCCCAAAAAAATCCTAACTTGATTAACTATAACGCATATATTGAAGCATTGTGAAGATAGACGCTAAAAGCTGTGTTAGTTAATTAAAAGCCCTATTAGTCGAAAGAAAAAGGCAGACTTTGAGAGTTTTTCTTGATGAGGGCGTAACTCGGATTATTATTTCAGGTTTCGGGACCAAATCGAGGCTATATTAAATGTTTATGTGTTTGATAAACCTTAAAAGCCAGTTTATCAAAGTGACAATACAGCAAGCCCTCTCTACTCTCCCCATTTGAGCATATTGGAGCAAGCTGAGATGGGGATATGCTCAGTGGTGGCTTTTGTAGATTTACCGTCACTGCATCACTTTGATGTTAATGCATTCATAAATTTAGTCATAGTAAATGGCAGGCTTTATACTAGTTACCCTTAGCCCTTTAGCTGACTTCGAGCTTCACTGAGGGAAGGAACATCAAAGTCGAAAAAATTCGAGGGGGGAGGGGCGGGCAGAATAGTGGATCACAGATGTAAAAGAGACAGACAGACACACAACTAAAGAGTAGGGTAAGATGAGTACTGTAGAAGAGGTAGAATATGACATAAAATAGGACCATGATAGTTTGAAGTGAGAAGTCAACCACAGGTTTATAGACGTTTTGCCGTATGAGAAGACGTTGCCCAGGGTGCGCCACGTGGAGATAGTCTATAGCCATAACCTGACTACAAATATGAAAAGTGGTTAATTTATTAGATAATGAGAGCTTCATGCAAATTTGAGGATGTGGAGATGATAATGTTTACTGCATTTGTTACCTAAAAATATATTAAAAATTCGGAATTTTGAATTGTGTAGGAGCAATCTGACCTTAATGAGGTGAGGTTCAAAAGATACTTGGAGATGCGTCAAGGCAACACAGGGATTTACCTGATTTGAAACTTGGCTGAGGTTGTGCCCAATTTAGTAAGTCGGTATTGCGGACATCAAGGTTACGGGTCATGCTCTGGATCTCAAAAACTACGAACCGCTTATTGATCCGTTCAATTTAATCAATAAAGTCTAGTCATGCCACATAAAGTTTACTTTTTCTAACTAACTTTGAATTAAATTTATTCTACATTTTATCCACTGGGCTAGGGTTTTAGTGTCGAGGAGATGACGAATCAAAAAGAATCATTAAAAAATCGATATAATGGTGCAAATTTCCCCCTACCACGTGAAAAAATACTCCAATGCTTATTTCCATGTGTCTTTGCAAATATAAAAATACCACTAATAATATCAACCTACTCCACTGGCCCGATTCCAACTTAACTGCGATGTTTGATATTCCATATTTCCAAAATATTTTGTTTTACTTCAGTTATTTCATTACTTTTTTATTCATTAACCTCACAATCAGCTAAGCATCTCTCAAGCTTATTTACCTTTGCTAGTGTTTAAAAAGTCAAGCCCGTCAATTTAAAAGAAGATTTAAAAATAGGAATTTTATGGAAATTTTATCTTGAATGACAGATATTTCAAAAATTCACAAACAATATTTCAAAGTAGATTGACGCAAAATTCTAGCTTAAGTTTTTTAAATTTAGTGCAAAAAATAAATCGATTGCATGTATTTATGGAAACCAATTAATATTTCATGACCGAATGACGCAAACCACATTCAATCTGCTGCCATATTTATTTCTAACCACGAGACATGATTGGCGTAGGGGCAATGATATCAATATAGAATGTCTTGTCATCAAAATTAATAATTAATTAAGCGTAAATAGTAAATAACAATAACATTAAGGTGCTCATTCCGTTTATCCGATAATGTTATTTTTTGGGCTCAGAGGATTTTTTGGTTAAAATAAAATAAGTTTCATCAACTCCAATAGATTTTATTTCCCAGGCTAAAAGTACCCACCACAGAGTGATAAAATTAGAATGAGTTTCTTGAGATCAAATAACAAGGATCAAAGTTTATGCAATGATGATACTCATCAAATGTAAAGTGGAAGTTATTTCCAAAATATAACCTGAAGATAAGATATAAAATGCACTAATATTAAGAATATAAATAGTTCAATAATCATAGCCGTTTAAAATAAATTAAGACAAAAAACAGCAATACTAATTTTTTGAAAACCTGGTCATTTATTCTAAATAAAAACAGATTCTTTTGGAATATAAATTCCTGATTTAATCCAAATTTCCCCAATTCTAAATGCAATATTTAAAAATCGGCTTAGTTTATTAGGTACCGACTAATGAGTAATCAAATTTCTTGATTATAACGCATCTCTAATGTTGAATATTAAATAATTTTTTAAGTTACGTTGAAGTTATGCTGAGGTTCAATAAGGGATTAGTTGAAATTCGTACTTAGAAGAAGGTAAATCCAATTTCCATAGATGATTAAATTATAATGAGCCATATTTAGCCAAGTTTCCCATCTAAAGTAAACATTTTTGTTAATTTATCGTTTGTTGAGATGCCCATCATACTAACTACAAACTAAAAAATTGATAAAAAAATTGGCAATTACCAGGAAGAGAATAGCTAAAATATGTCACGAAGAAGACTGTTCAAATAGAAGTCCTACTTTGCAATATTATCACGTACTGTTTACATGTTAAAAACAAATTAGCGATATAAATGTGATATCACATATACATATTTAATTATCTATTTAATATTAGTATTTTAAATAAAATTAGTTTTCATGCGTTTGTATTGAGATATTCATCATCGTCTTCATTGAGATTCAATACTCTCCATGAGACCATTTCTAGTGAAGCCAAACTTCTTGAATTTCAGAATAATAAAAAGTTATTTTGAAAGTAAGAAAAGCGTAGAAGGAATTTTTTTATTTTGGTGTAATGAGATTTAAAAATCATAATTTAATTAGCATATATTTTGAAGTTAGTAATATCTCTAAATTGACATAAATCAATGAACGAGAAAATTCACCTAGTTAAAGCAAACAAAATAATATTTATTTTAAATAATTGAAATTATTAGAGCCTTGCATGTGTTTTTTTTAATACAAAAGAATAGATTGCTATTAAGGCGACTATAACAGAAGGTCATTAAATAAAAATTCACAACATAAATTTTGTTCTTCAAGTGGGTAAATAAGTCTGTAAAAATCCAACCAATGAGTATATTTGCTCCACTTAAAGTTCGTTGCCCATGGAAAATTAAAATTTAGATAAAGTGATTTAGTCTGCCAATTATCGGTGGAATTTAATTTATTTTTCCAAGCCAAGTCTAACTTTTTATGTTCGAATATGTTTTTGCACTGGTTTTATTTCTGCCTTAAATTTGCCTTCGCGAATCATCGTTTACTCACTTCCACGGTGTGATGCACAATAGAGGTAGCACATGTCGGCAAGGAGATGGTGATTTGAGACTCCACTCAAAGCAGTAGTGAAATTGCTCTCTTTTGGAGAATCAGAGAGGAAATATTGTGGAACTGGATCTCTGAAATTTCTGGCTTATTGGGGTGTTTAGAGCTCCGGCTAAACTCTAATCGGAAGTGTCATTTCAAGTCAGTCCCTCAACTAATCTTCTTATTGTGCAAGCACATTTTTTGTGGTGGGTAAATACGAACAATACAACTATTTGCTATAGCTGTTGCAGTACGAAAATGCAAACTTTTGTATGAAATTGAATTTTTTACACGAATGTGAAAACGATTAGATTTTTGAGCGTTTTTTTCTAATGATGAATATATAGTAAAAGTGGAATTTTCGTGAAAACAGAGATCAAGTTTTTACCTCAAAAATAGAAAAATTCATTTAACATGATGGAGCTAAATTTTTACAAGTTTGCCATATTTTAAGGACAATTTGTCTAACATTTCAAATACTTTATACACAAATACTCCATATAGCATTCCAGTCTGAAAGATATCCAAATAAGACAGTGTCATAATATAAAAATTATCGTTTCTACACGCTTCAAAATGAAGTGTCCGATTAATGAAACACATATTGCAGTTTTAGGCAAGTACATTTCACCTTTCATAAAATGGGGCGTGCGTTTGACCTACCCACGCGTAATATACTCCGGGCAACGTATACACATACGGGAAAAAGTCTATTAATAGGCCGTTGACTTCCCACTTCAAACTACCATTACCCAATCCTGTGTCATATTACATCACTTTCACGGTACTCACCTAACCTTACCTTTTTCTCTGCCATTGTTTCTTTCCACTATGAAGTCCGAAGTCAGCTAAAGAACTCGTGATAACTGTCAAAACGCCTGCCATTTGATATAAATAAATAAGTAAAATTTTTACAGAAATCAAATTAATTTTTTTTTATTTTTTAGTTTTGATCAATTCACGCAAACACGGTGATTAATAGATTTTCTTGGCTTCCAATACGCAGTTTGATGATATCAGAAAGAATTTTTTTGATAGTCGATCTAAACAAGCATCGCAGGTTTAATTGATCTCTAACTGTTGTCAACTGTCTCAAATTTGGAAATGTTTGCTGCTGTTCGGTGAAACCTTTACTTCAAAATTAGACTGCATTTTAATCGGTTCAAATGATGCATTTTTTCTTCATCTCCAAGTTGCCCATTTGCTCATTCAAGTATTTCTCCTCCTAATTTTCTGCTGGTCTCGAACTTGCTTGGCGCTAAAGAAAAATTATGGTGGTCTCAGATTGTAGAAATCTCATTTCTAAAAGGGAAAGTAGAAATTATAGCACCTGGGATAATTTTTCAAATTTCTAAGGTAATTGTAGTCGGCTTTAACTTGAAAAAAATGCCTTCTTTGTTAATTTTTTGCCTTTAAAAACCTTTGCACTCTCTTAATCAACCGAATTCCATCCTTAACAAATTCAGTGTGGCAAACTATTTACCCACCATTAGGGGTGGAAATTTAATGAAAATTAATTTGAATTAACCCTGAATTTAACATTTTGTTCCCTTTTCTTATTTCACTAACCTCGCTTGCATTTAGACTAACATGAGCACCATAAACACGTCAACACTGATAACTCTTGAGAGCTGTCAAGATTCATGATCTTATTTAACCCGGAACACGAGATTCTGCTGGAATTTAATTATCGATTAACTCATTTATAGATTGGCACTGGCGTAGACACACTCTTACGAAGTCAAAAGTGAAAAAGTTGGAAATTTTTTATATTGGCTTAGTAGTTAGTTTGTGATCAATTGTCAACAGAGTTGTTTGCGAGGAAGAATTTGATGGCATTTTTGAGATGATGATATCGAAGAAGAGGCGCAGTGCGTTTGCATTTGTCGTAGGAGTCACTCAGTTCATTTATATTGTCGATGAGTAAGTCGATGCGATTCTGCAAGTCAACATTCCTCTCCCGTAACTTATCCGTCTCTCTAGCCAATTCCTCCGTTGTATATGCTGCAATTCAAACGCGCGCAAGATAGGATGGGGTACCATATAGCCGGTATTAGATTTAGAGGAAAAATATTAGAACGCTTGTTTAAAATAAGCTGGATAACATCGTACAAAGCTAAATAACCAGTGTAAATCTAGTGCAAAGAAAGTGAAAAACAAATTGTGCTGACTTTGGAGTTCAAAAGTTAAAATAATGTAGCAGCTTTATTCCATATATATATATATATATATATATATATATAATTTCAGTTTAAACATCTTAGAGTGCTATCTAATGGTGAATTGCACAAAAAGCTCTGTCTCCATTAAGATATTTGTGCTGTCAATTTGCCCGCTACGGAGAGTTCAAGGTCATCTGTGATTTGTAAACAAATTTTCGCATTCCCCAATAATCAATTTTGTTTATAAATGTTTCAGTGTAGACTTTGCAGGGCTCAGTATTCTCCTGTGGTATCTATTTTCAAATTCATGCTTTCATTGATTCCATGGTCGTAACGAAAATTTTCCGATATTTCATACAGATCAAATTTAAAATGCATGCAAGCAAAAGCATTTTTTTCTGATACGCAAAATTACCGTAGATGCAAGTCCACATCTATAATTTAGTGCTATTTGTTATCTAAAGTAAGATTGGGTAGGAAACAGTAATGAGAATGTGGTATTTATCACTTTAATTGATTAGCTAATTCCAGTCGCTCAGAATGTATAAGTTGCAAAAGCAAATTACTTTTACTTAGTAATCTTTTTGAATTCGGACGTTCCTGTTGATTATTTTGGCAGTCTTTTGTACACGATAACATTAAAATAATCGATTGCCATTTCATACATAAACACAATTGCGATGTTAACCTCTGGTTTTTTAATTGAAAATCAAAAGTCCTATATTATTTGCCCATTAAATCTCTCTAGCAGTTTGGCGTTTTTTCCATTGTTTGCAGATTCACTGATAGTACAATTCCAAGAAAATTTTTCTAATTAGGAAAACCTTATTCCAAATCTGACCATGCTAATTGTTTGGAAGTAATATTTACAATGTTGGGGGGGGGGGAGATTTCGTTTCACTTTTAAAGGCTCATATAAAAATTGTTACATAATCAACAACCGAATGTGGAAATTGATGACTTTTTATTCTTATTAAGAATTAATTACATACTGCAGCAAATTTCTTCCCATTCGAGTTCCAATATACTACATCTAGCATAATAAAATTCAAATATTTCTAAGAAAGTAAATTCTGCCCTTAGCAGAGTTCAAGTTAACAAATTCATTTTTAAGAATGAAAATTATGTATTTTATTGAAATATTTGAACATCACCATTAACTTTAATCTGATTTGCTTAAAACTCGGCTTTTGATTAAATTTGACATTCATATCTGTTCTACCGTCTTCGCATCATCATGAATAGTGGTAAAAGTAGTTATTCAGAAATTGTGCATCGCTTCTTTAAGTAATGGACAATATCTATCAAAATTCTTTGGGCACCTAATTTTAGTCGTATAAATATTTATCTAGCATACGAATTTGAAATAAGTAGCTAAGTGCAAAATAGCAATTTCATATTTCGTTTACCTCAAATTCTAATCGTTAAGTGAGAAAATAGATTCGTACTCATAAAATAGAAAGTGAACTGCAAACTTAATGATTAATTTGGTAATTTTATTTAATGACAGTTTTGGAATAAGTGAATTAAATTCTCAATTAATTAAATACTTGAAGGATCATTTCCCATTATTTTTTTAAATTTCTATCAATCAATGTTTTTCTAAGACAAATAAAAACAGACATTAGGATTAATTTTGCTCTTGTTTACACTAATTTGACTTTTAAATCGGTGAATCGTTAATTTATTTCATGAAATTATGCGAAGTAAATGTTATTCTTGAATACAAACTCGTAAATGACAATAGATGAAAATAAATTGGTGTTCAGAAGGTTATCTTTTAACTATCTAATTTTTAGTGCAAATTTTACGACGAGGGTTTTTTAAAGCATTGTAATTAATTTTACGTTAATAAGCTTAAACAATATTCGAAATTTGTCTAAAAAGTCCATAACTATATAAGTGCAAGAAGCGGCGCCATTTTAAGCAAAAACGAGATGATATGGTGGATTTATATGTTTAATTGAATAATTTAAAAGTATGACTCACAATTTAGACCGTCAACAGGATGTTTTATTATAAAGTTAAAATTTAATATCTGCAAGATTTGATGTGCAAGGAAACTAATTTATTCTACTCGAAAGACCAATTAACGGGATTTCCAATAATTGAAAATCAATAAAGATCAATAAATAATAACGGGCTTACAGTCGCACATATTGCAATGCTTTTGTCTCATTTCCCTCTCCTTTACGGTGCTTTGTAGCACCTGCCCTTTGAGAGAACTTGCCCTGGCAGCCCCAGCTCCACCATTATTAACTGAACTCGGTGTTGGATCACTGAGCCTAAGGTGGAGGACAAGCTTCTTGACCATGGCACAAAGACGTTTGTATCTACGATAGGGATCCATCATCAAAGCCTCCTTACTGGCCTTATACTCTTCATGAAAATTTTGCACAAAACTCCTGAGCCTCTTCCATTCTGCATGCAGTTCATCATTTTCCAGCGACAATTGCATGTACTTAGGCCGGTTTGGATCACCGATTGCTACCCTCAGGAAACCCTTTGCAGGTCCCTCGTCTCGAAACACTCTTGACATGCGCCGAAAGCTATTCGCAGCAAAACTAGCCCTGAGAAGTAAGGAAGAACCAGTGGAATCATCAAGTCCATTATCATCTGTCTCGAGAGTGATTGAATTCGGTCGGTGTATGTTGGGGGTGTTTGTTGGAAGAACAGATCTTCGACGCTCTTCAGTGTAATGTGAATTAGCAACAAGAGACATTGCGTCCGCTATCAATAACTGCCCATCAATCGCTGAACATTTATTCGCGTCAGGAAAACCAATCAGTGAGTTAGCGCATTTTGCTTGGCTACATTTGAGCAGAAACCCACCACTGGCCAATTGAAGAGGAGGGATACATTTTTTTATCGCTTTGTGCTTCATACGCATATTCTCCACTTTAAATATAATAATTTAAGTTGGAAAAAAATAAAATACTAGTGCCTAAATATAAAATTTCAAAATATTAGATCCTATTTCTAGAGACTTCTTAATTTGTTATTTTGAAATATACATTTTAAAAGTTTTGCAGTTGTGATATTGAACAGTACAAACCAAACCGGAATCTGAAACCTATTAAGACAACTATAAATTTCGAAAATTCCTTGAATGAGTTCACATTTTCGAATCCCTAACTCACTCAAACTGTTTTTTTTAATCTTCCAAACTTCGAATTTCCTTTTTGATCACTAAATTCTACGGCATTTTTTCTTAAGTACATAATCTGCAACGATTGATGTGAGATTTTCAGATTATAATCATTTTATAAGTTTTATTTCAAGTGTTTAAACATACGAAAACATAAGCAAACAATTTAATAAAAGTGAGTTAAGGGTGACTTTGGTTGTCTATTTGGGTTTGGTAAAACAGTCCTTAATTTACCCTGAGCACATTTATGCCGCAAATTCATTGCTCGAACTTATAATTAAGTATGGCGTTTTAATTGAAAATGGCACAAAGTTTGAAATCGTTACCTTGTTGATAACCTCGTAAAATGAGCTAAAAAACACAGTGGTGTAAGTGTGGGAAAATTGTATTTGAAAATCAATCATTATTTTCTTATTATAAGGGTTAGGATAGTCAGTATGTAATGCTTAAAAATCGTAAAAGGGCTCAGGAAATAGCCTTTAATTTCAAGCCAAACATTTTATAACCAACTCTGAAAGCAATCGCAATTCTTATTTCATAAAATCTACAAATTGAGCCCTTAAGAGCCCAATTTGTAGATTTATGGACGCACTAAAGGTAGATAAATATTCGGATTTAATCAATCTATATAGTGCTTGCCTTCATTTAAACTTTAAATCTAATGACTTGTATTTCGGACAAATCTTGCAATTGGAGTCCACTTTGGACCTGAAATTTTTCTCAGGACTATCACAAAAGCCAAAATATCCTTTCAATGGGAATCAAAAATTCTATTGATTTATGACACTTGCAAAAACATGGGATGCACTTCCTTAGATTAAAGTTATCAGCATTTCGAAAGGCGGACGAGTGTGAGCTGAAATATGCACTTGAACTGTGAGGATGAAAAAATAAAATTTAGAATTGGGTGTGATAAACTATTACAAATTATAATAGGGATATTGGTAAAAATCTGGTGAATAGGTTTAAATTAGCAAATATAATTTGATTTAATTTAATCTAATTCGAAATTCTATTCGCTTCAGCCTTTTTCTGGATTAAGAAGTAAATATACAAGCTCCAATAATTTGCATCTAGTAGTGTAAGTGGACGTTTCCAAATGCTTTGCAAATCGTGATTCTATTTTCAATTAACGAATAAAAATAAATTAATTGTCAAATTTTCAATCTCCGGAAAAGTCTAAAATGGATGTTGGTAAGGCAATCAATAAGCTCCAAGAAAATAGGAATTTCATTGGATAGTGATAAGCACTTTGAAATAATCCATACTGATTTCTAAAATAGGATAATCATATTTGAGTTAAAGGATTCGTAGGTTATTAATGGCCAAATTTTAACATTTCTGTCCTATTAACTGAGTGAATTCATACCTCCGGCAACCATGGCTTCTCAGATTCCTGTAAAGTGAGTTTTCTCTCAATCCGTTCAGCTATGATTTTGCTAATGCCAACCTTGAGCCATAGAAATTAACTTTATCCTATTGCAAAATGATTAGATTTAGCTTGAGGCGAAAGCTGAAACACTCAAGTTATAAAACCAGAAGACTCTTTGAATAATTTTGTTGCACCAGAGAGAAACACTGACAAGATTTTTTAGTGAATTAAGTGGATTTTCTACTTGATTTGATTCTCATCCTCATAATGGGATATATATATTACCACCAGGAAGCCAGTAATTCATCAAATATAAAAGGAAATAATTGTAATTGGAGCGAAATTTCGTTTTTATTCTGCCAAACGTCTGAGTATTGCGCCGATTGGCAAAGGAATAATTGTGCAGCTATACAGGCAGGTGTCAACACAAAGACCTTCAAACACCCAATGACAATAAAAGTAAAAGGTTCTTCAATCAATACCAAAGTTTCTACTCAAATCGAAAAAAGCATGTTTACTTCAAAAACAAGATGTTGATTTTGAAAGACTTCTGGGAAAATCAGCGAAGTATCAGCACTTCGTACTTCCTTCGGCATTTACATCTATTTACAAAAGATCTGCATTTGCCATTATTATGCTAAACACTTTTGCACCTACCAAATATACAAGAGCATCCTTCAAACAGAAACGACAAAAAAAAACTAATTCAATTTAGTGAATAGGATATAACCAAGCGGGGGATCTCTCCTTTTTCGGTTCTTTGAAAGGTTAATACAGCCGTTAAACCAACCGACGTCACTATTCAATCCATGGTTACCATTCGACAACAACTCAAACTGATTCTCGTTCTAATTTTAAGAAATTAAGTGCAAATAACACGCAACACTACGTATTTTCGAGGCCTCTAACGAATTTCCCTCCATCGAGGTTGGGAAGAAAAGCCCGCTTTAGGGTTTAAAGTGCAAATAGTTGTTTAGCCACGGTGAAAATTTTGCAGTTAATCAAATAAGCAAGTTTTTATGCGCAAAATGGAGCTATTAATTTTGATTAGTTCTAAGGCCAGCCTGACCACAAATCACAAAGCTCGGTGATGACACAGAATCCGCACACTTGTAAGCCATACTCCAAAATTTTGAACAAATTTTAACAACTTCAAAACAGATAATGAATAATTACAACTTACTTGTTAGCCAACTGTTTATGGTAAAAATGTTTTAACAACTATTGGTTATTTTGATTGAATCACCAATAAATTCATCGCATTTAATTTGACCTTTAAAACTTCTGTCCTATTAGGATTCTCCAATCCTAAATTGTAAAAAATAATCTAGAATATTAGGCTCTTTGCCAATCATTAAATTTAAACTTTCACCACTCTAGAGTTATATGTGAGCTTTGGCCTAAGGACAAGGAATTTATCTGAGTGCGTTATTTTTTTGTTGCCATTAAATTGAAAGTAGTTGCCTGTTTCATTGTGCAGGATGTGTCATTATTGCTGAAAAATTTCCTGAATGTCAGCTATTCGTTGGGGGCTTCAATTTGATAAGCGGATGTACAACTCCACATTTTCCACTTCCTAGCAATGAAATCTCCATTAAATATCTTCCAATGTGTATTAAGTAAAATTTACTTGGAGTGTAATTTTGTAGCTTTTGCTAAATGCGTGAGTCCCACCCATTTTACGCACTTTTTGCCTTTTGATGAAATAAAATGACTTTAAATGTATATTTTGTAATTTTTTATAAAATTTAAAACAAGCAGCATGGATAAATCTGTTTTTTCAGAAAATTCAGTGAAATGAATTAGTGATGATTGGCCTAAATCGTTAAAATCTTTTAGCTGAGTATTTAAGCAAAAATTTATTACTCAACATTAGGATATATGCTATTCTTAAGTTGTGTATTCTGGGGTGTGCGATAGACTTACCATCACGTGGTGCACCCTGGGCAAAGTATACTCATAAGGCAGAAAGTCTATAAATCGGCAGATGACCTCCGAATTCAAACTACCATCACCCCACTGCATGTCATATTCCTCCACTTCACAGTACTCACCTTACCTTTTTCTCTATTGTTGTGTCTGTCTGTCTCTTTTACATCTGTGCATCACTTTATGTTCCCCCCCCCCCCTCTCTACTTGTTCTCACTTTGATTTTCCTCCCCTCTGTGAAACCCGAAATCAGCTAAAGGGCTATTGATGTCTATCAAAATGCCTGCCATTTGAAATGAGTAAAGTTGTATATTCTCAATATTCTTTCCATCGGTAGAATTAAACGTCAATATAAGTGGTTGTAACCGATGCAATTCAAATAAGCATTGACAAATCTCATCATTCTGTGGGACACGTCATCTCTTAACGCGTCATCGCACACCTTCACGCCAGAATTGGGAGGTGTGGCCGTACAACTCAGTGTGCAGCGACCGTACAAACAGTGGCCAATCATTACTCTCTGTTTGTTTAACCTAATCCCCCATCCTGATCATGATTAAGCCCCCTGC